GATAAGACCTAGACGAGGTCGAAACTGCAGCCCACTTCAGCTTGGATAAAAATACCTTTTGGCAAAGCAAGGCTGTGTACAAATCAATGCAGACGTCATGTGTACTCATATTATTGCGGAAAAATTCAACTACCAGTCTTTCATTATCTTAAACGGTAAAGACTGAACGCATCTCATAAAATAAAAAAAACAAACTAGTACAAAGTTCTATATATGAAAAAAGTTGGTCCTAGAAGCATTCACTAATAAGTCAAGGTGACTAGAATTTACATATCAAAGAAAAATTTGGCTGAAAAGAATTCGTGAATAGACCTCTCACCGGAAACCGAAGCATAGTTGAGAAGATTGGGTTGAGCGCACACACAAAATTACATACACACAATGCACAATAACACACGCATTACCGGATCCTTTTTCGGTACGGAGACAGTGGAGACCACATCTTCTTTCCTTACATGCACTTATTTTACCTATTTGAAAGCATGTGTGATGAGCACAAAGTATTTTTCATGTATAAGGGGGTTTCGACACTACCAGTATATCATAAAATTCGGGATGTATTAACCATATTTCGTAAATGTGGTGAAGGACTGTTGGTTTAATTTTCCCGCGATAAAATAAGTAAACCTTGCGTCTTCATTGAATTTCACATAGCCTTGCTTCCCAAAAAGTATTCTCCTCCAGGCTGGACTGGACTGCAGCTTTTACCTCGTTTAAGCTTTATCAGCACCACTAGCGGGACTCAAACCCAGGTTGTTGTGGTACAGCGAATAATCTCACCAGGTTGCCAAGACTGCCCTTAAGCCACAGGGCAGATGTAAATTGCAAGGAAGAGCAGGAATTTTGTTATATCACACTAGTTGGTGGGTATATATATATTTTACATGCCCTGTAACACAATGGCACTCTTGGTAGTCTAGGTCGAAAAGTTAGGAAGGGACTAACCAGCCAGGACTGGAAGTCAGGTTGGCCTACTTCGAAAGTTGAGGAAAGCTCAATTTTGGCGATGATACGTGATGAGGTGCCCATCTGAGGCTGCAACCCGATGGCGTCTTTGCACTAGGTTTAGTCGCCACTTTCCCCTTTTTTTCATCTCGTCCAGATCGAGGCAAATAGATCGAGGGGCTCCGGGATCAGCCCTGAGCAGGGCAGTCTGTGAAGACAATTTTTCGACTAAATTTCAATGTGACTAGTTTTCGAGACTCAATAAATCTCGAAAAAGGTCCAACCCAGCCTTGGTTGTCAATGCTTTGCTATTCCCCACCTCGCGATGCCAGTGAAATTGACCTTTACTGGAATGGACTTGAATGGGCCCCTGCACGCATCAACACCCTCGAATGACTCCGATACTGGGTCGTGAGTATCCTGGCAACAGGTAGCAACGGTTGTCAGTGGGTCACAGGACAGATGTGACATTCAGGGCAAGCCAGGTCCCCTTCAGCTCACAATCTGTAAATAGTGGCTTTGTCTACTGCACAAACATGTGAGTACAAATACCGGCAAATCGTTCATTTCGCGTGAGAAGGCGGGTGGAAGGTATTCGTAGATTGGCCTCACCAGATACCGAATTTGGGTTTCCTTGGACTTTGGTATGTTGAATTGTGCGAAGAACACCTCGGCTCACCGTCCTACGAACCCGAAGACTCCGTGCTGGGCTTTCGTCCGTCATGTGACGAACATCTTCACAGCCAGAAAGGATTGTCTACGAACAATCACCAAAGACAGGTGGCCGGCTGAGATCCTTTTTGCTTCTTATACCTCACTATGAGATCCTAGTGAGTCATTGCGTGATTTGGTTGAATGTTTTATGCATGTCCTACATGCAGGTAAACGAGTGAACTTGCTGCAGGAAGGGGAGCCGATATGGTCACAACTTTTGAATATGTAAATAAACTTGCGCATTATCATGTAATCCTGGGTTTTGTTAGAGCTTCGTGGATGCGTGTTTGTGTGTGTATGCAACACTCACAGGTTGTTTGGCAATTTTGGATTCCTAACCAGACGCATATGTGAAAAAAGTGGGGTTAAAAGAATTTCCTAGTGATCTGCTGTGACATGACTCTCCATTTCGAAGGGAACTTTGCTTAGAAGGAATGTTATGATGTGGTCTGACTGGAAACCGAAGGAGGGTTGCCGCGTTAAATTGTGCTAAGAAGTCCTTGACACACCGTCCTGCGATTCCGATGAAACTGTGCTAACCTTTCATCTGTACCGTGACAGACATCATCAGATCAGGTATTCATACTTCACGAAATAGAGCAAAACTATATTAAAGCAAGAGTAAACGTGGCCGGCTTAAACCGTATTCGCTTTTATATACAACAAAACTGATCCAACTAAATCATAGGATACCTCATTAAGATTGCAAGTTTTGTTGTATATAAAAGCGAATAGGGTTGCAGCCGGCCACGCTTACTCTTGGTTTAATATATTTTTACTCTATTTCGTGAAGTATGAATACCTGATCTGATGATGTCTGTCACAGTACAGACGAAAGGTTAGCACAGCTTCATCGGGGTCAGAGGACGGTGTGCCAAGGACTTCTTCTCACAATTCAACAGTCTGCTCCACGCAGCAACCCTCCTTCGGTTTCCCGTGAGACTACATCATAACATTCCTTCCAACCAACTTTTCTTTCGAAATGAAAATTCATGTAACAATAGTTGAGCTTACTTTCATTTCGAGTGGAAGTGTTTGGTGAAGAGATTCGAAGGTCGCTTCCACCAGAAGACGACGGTGGATTCCTCTTGACCAGCTGTCAT